CATTGCAGCCAGTCCTGAAGAGACCTGATAAGCTAGGGTCAAATGGAAGGGGAGGAGGTCCTCCCCTATCAGTGAACTTGGAAAGGGGCAAGGAAGAGATGAGGGAGGGAGGGTGTGATTGGGAAGGAATGAGAGAGGGGGCTACAGCTGGGATACAAAGTAAATAACCTGTGATTAATAAAAAATTAAAAATAAAATAAAATAAATGCATATGAAAGACATTAAAAAAATAGAAGTTGGTCACTGAGGGTGGGCTTTTAAAGATGTGTAGCTCAGATATGGTGATGGTCTAGCTTTTGTTGGTGCCCCTTTATTTTGTTTTGAGACAGCATCTCTTTTAACCCAGGGTGGCTTTGTATAATTCCCTGTGTAGCTATGACTTTGAAATTCTCCTCCCTCTCCCTCACAAGTGTTGAGATTATTACCATTGTTGATCACCACACCTATCTCAGATAGTTCTCACATGCAGAAATATAAATGATCAAAAATATATGTTTTAATGCTCAAACATTGTTAGTCATAAAGGAAATTATAATCAAAACTATACTGAGATTATGCCTCAACTTCAGTCAGAGATGCATCATCAAGGAGCCAACAGTGAAAATTTTTTGAAAAATGTAAGATAAAAGTAACTTTATGAACTAAAGAAGTTAAAAACAACAAATCAAGTAATCCAAATTAAAAATGGGGTATGGAGCTAAACAGAGGAATATAGAATGGCAGAGAAACACTTAAAGAAATGCTCAGTGTTCTTAGCCATCAGGGAGATGCAAATCAAAACAACCTTGAGATTTCACCTTACACATATCAGAATAGCTAAGATCAAAACCTCAAGTGACAACACATGCTGGAGAGGTTGTGGAGAAAAGGGAATTCTCCTCCATTGCTGATGGGAATGTAAACTTGTATAACCATTTGGAAATCAGTCTGGTGCTTTCTGAGACAATTAGGAATAGTGTTACCTCAATATCCAGCTATACCACTCCTAAGCATATATCCAAAATATGCTCGAGTATACAACAAGAACATTTGCTCATCCATGTTCATAGCAGCTCTATTCGTAATAGCCAGAAATAGAAACAACCCAGATGTCCCTGAGTTGAGGAATGGATACAGAAATTGTGGTACTTTTACACAATGGAATACTACTCAGCAATTAAAAACAAGAAAATCATGAATTTTCTAGGCAAATGGTGGGAACTAGAAAAGATCATCCTGAGTGAGGTATCCCAGAAGCACAAAAACACACATGGTATATACTCACTTATAAGATAGTATAAATGTACTGAAATCCTTACACCTAAAGAAGCTAAACAAGAAGGAAGACCTGGGGTAAGATGATCAATCCTCACTTAGAAAGACAAATGGGATGGACATTGGAAGAAGGAGAAAACAAGAAATAGGACAGGAGCCTACCACAGAGGGCCTCTGAAAGGCTCTACCTAGCAGTGTATCAAAGCATTTATTAAGACTCATAACCAAACCTTCGGCAGAGTGCAGGGAAACATACGAAGATAGAGGTAGTCAGTAAGACCTGGAGAGGACAGGAGCTCCACAAGGAGAGCAACAGAACCAAAATATCTGTAATTAATGTAAAAAATAAAATTAATTAAAAATATCTATCATCCTTTTTTAAAAAGTTAGTTTATAGCCTTCTGATAGAAATGTAAACTAGTACAGCCACTATGAAAATCACCATGGAGGGTCCTCAGAAAACTAAACTAGAATTACCATATAATCTTCTTAAACCTCTCTGGGCTATATACCTAAAGGAGCACAAGCCAGCATATAAAAGGGATGTCAGCCGTGAGAGCTCCACATAGCCACCTTTGCCAGCTTCAGGTGTTCTCTCAGACTTTTAAGAACCTCAACTCAGGCAAAAGTGGGATTCATTGCCTTGACACAGAAAAGAATTTTTAGACTGGTCAGTATAGTGAAGCAGAGTAAGAAAGTCAGTCAATGATAGCTTTAATATCGGCTTAAGCATTAGGGTTATGAGAACGTAAAGTGCTCAGAAGAAATGATTCATGCCCAGGTTGGGGTATGTGCTTCCCAAGAGAATAGGCAAAATAAGATGCACCTGAGTGTATGAGCTCCTCAAGGGAGAATGAGCAATTGTCACACGGCACACACACGGGCACGCACACACACACAACTTTGGTGACTCACAGAAGGGTACTGAGAAGACCCCGTCTGCCTTTCTTTCCTAGAAAATCTGCAGGGTTATGGCTGGAAGGAAGATGGTCTTGGCACTTGGTAATTATGCTGGAATTCTTGCTTCACTACTGGCAAAAGCTTCCACCAAGTTCCCAGTTGACAGGTTTCTTCTTTCCAGCAATGGAGGAGGGTTCCCCTTTCTCCACAATCTCTCCAGCATGTGTTGTCCCTTGTTTTTGATCTGAGCCACTCTGATGGGTGTAAGGTGAAATCTCAGGGAGTTAGCCTTGGGGATTATCTATACACCTATGCCCATTGTTTCACTATATAAAATACCCAGGTTATGGAATCAGCCTAAGTACCCACTCATAGTACACACACACACACACACACACACACACACACACACACACAAAGCATGGGTTCTTATTCAAAGAACCCACCATGTTAAAAACAAATATCCCTTCAATTCCAGAACACCGATCTTTTTTCTGCTGTTAGTCATACTTCTCAGAAATGTAGGTTTTACTTTCTCACATTCCCATAATTTTTCATTCTATTCTTGTCCAGTTTCGACATTCGTTTCACTATTGTCATTAACAGCCCTTACATTACTCTAAGCAAAAGTCTCATACACCTATGAAATGTTCTCAAGTCTTCGGTGCAAAAATTAACCACACACGGTACATACTCACTCATATAGACATATAATATAGGATAAACCAACTAAAATCTGTACATCTAAAGAAACTAATCAAGAGGGAGGACCCTGACTAAAATGCTCAATCCCCATCCCGAAAGGCAAAGAGGATGGACATCAGAAGAAGAAGAAAGCAGGAAACAACCTCGGAACCTGCCACAGAGGGTCTCTGAAAGGCTCTGCCCTGCAAACTATCAAAGCAGATGCTGAGACTTATGGTCAACTGTTGGGCAGAGTGCATGGAATCTTATGAAAGAAGTGGGAAATAGTAAGAGCTGGAGAGGACAGGAACTCCACAAGGAGAGCAACAGAACCAGAAAATTTGAACACAGGGGTCCTTCTAAAGACTCATACTCCAACCAAATACCGTGCACAGAGATAACCTAGAAACCCTGCACAGATGTAACCCATGGCAGTTCAGTGTCCAGGTGGGTTATATAGTAATGGGAAGAGGGACTGCCTCTGACATAATCTGATTGTCCTGCTCTTTGATCACCTCCCCCTGAGTGGGGAGCAGCCTTACCAATGCTACAGAAGATGACAATGCAGCCACTCCTGATGTGATCTGATAGACTAAGATCAGAAGGAAGGAGAGGAGGACCTCTCCTATGAACTTGGAAGGGGCATTCGTGAAGAAGGGGGAGGGAAGGTGGGATTAGGAGGGGAGGAGAGAGGGGTTTATGGGGGGATACAAAGTGAATAAAGTGTAATTAATAAAAGTTTAAAAAAAGAAAAAATCTAACCACCCAGTGAATTCCTTTTTGATCAGGTCAGACATAGACATGACCAACCTCCACACCCCACCAGAGGTCCCATGGTATTCTCCACCCATTATTTCCTCATTCCTCCCTAAAAGATGTACCTTTCCTGACAGTCCACACTACAGTTTCATTTTGTCTGTTTCAAGGTTTGTGTAAATTGACAAATATCTCTTTTGTGTCTGGTATCTCTTACTCTCACACTGGATGGGTATGAAATTGCATGCAAAGGGGGCTTCTTTATTTTTATTGCTGCGTAAATACACAATTTATATATGCACCCCAATTCACCTATTTTTCTGTTAATGAACACGTGAGGTTGTTTCCACATTAGGGCTGCTTCAAATACAGTTTCCATTAATCTTCTTTTCCTTGTCTTCTTGGTACACATGTACTCTTAATAATCTGTTTTTTTAAAAAGAAAGCACTGTTTGGGAATACTGTAAAATAGTTTGGGGCAATTAAGACACAGTAGCCTCAACAAGTTTGGACAAGGTTTTCCTTGTGAGCAGCTCCTCTTATGAGAGATGTATAAGCTGAAGGTCTCATAAGAGAGGGCACCTGGGGTCAGCCATATCCTTAACATGTTACTTCATGCAAGAATGCAGAGAATGGCAAACAAAAACAAACTATATCCTTAAAATGCACCCAGAGTAAAGGCAACCCAAAGAACCTCTGTTCAGAGTAGTCAGCTTAATACATGGGCTGGCTGTCCAGTCCCTTCTGAACTTCAGAGTTGAGGACTGTGGAGTCACCTGGGGAAGAGGCATGAAGAGACCGAAGAGGAGGATGGATCACAGATGTATTTTTGTGGGGTTTTGCTTCCTTTTCCCCTTTACTCCTGAAGCTGAGGTGAACATAGAAAGTTCTGCCCAGCCCTTTCCTGCAGATACCTGTCATGCCCTGGGAGGAAGAAAGGACGCACCACAGAAGCCCCAGAAGTTGCTTATCGCAGTGTCACGGTTAATACCTACAGTTTAAAATCTGGGCATATTTAGAAGTCTCTGGGGGTGAGGAGAGAAGAAAGGGTGGATAGCTGCATTAGTCTTGGGCTAGAAGAGGACCATAGGAGTCCTTCACATTTATATCGCAATGCAGTTTACAGGAAGTTTGTTAATCCTTCTCTTTGACACTCACAGATAATTACAGGTAGCCGGGCAGGTATTATCTTCATTTTCTTAATCTGTGAACCAACAAAGTCAAATGAAAGGCAGGTTCAGCACCTTACTCCACCTCCCCAGAGCCTTTTCAGGAGTTCCTAGGAGGAGAAGACAAAGGAAAGAGACCTGGAAGCAGCCAGTGCTCCTGAATAGTTGCAAAGACAGACATGGAGGAGTTAGTTGGAAAGGTGTGAGATCTGAAAATTCTATGCCTTATCTGGATAGTTTGAAAACACCAGGGAGGTGCATCTCCCAGTCCTTGTTCTGGAGGTTGTGGTCTCTTTAGGCACCTACCAGTGTATTTCCAAAAGTGAAGTTTCACGGAGAGTGGCAGGGAGATGGTACCGCCCCTCCCGGATGGACTTGCAGTTGAGCGCCCTCTGTCACCTCAAGCCTCAGAGCACACGGGGTAGGGTGGGGAGCTTGGAACAGTGGCCAGCCCAGGTGCGCCAGGGGTTCGGCAGGCTCCCGGAAGGTGTGCTGTCCTGCCCAACCCCCATCCCCGCGCCGCCCGCGTGAAAGTGAAAGTTCCAGGGCCCCAAGAAGGTCAAGGATTGGGGGGGGGGGCGGGGCCGGCGCGGACGTGGGAGCCGGCGCCGGGCACTGGAGGGGCCATGGATGGGCTCGGCCGCCGCCTCCGAGCCAGCCTGAGACTGAAGCGCTGCCACGGGGGTTAGTGCGGGCCACAGCGCGCGGGGGTCTGGGTGCGGAGTGGAGGGTTCGGGGATCTGGGACTTTAGTAGGCTCAGTGGGACACTGGAGTCAGGAATGAGAAGCAGTTTGAGTGGGATCTGGGAGGGCTGGACAGGACGCAGGTGAGCTCAAGAGAACAGGTAGAGGTCGGCAAGTAGGCAGACCTGCTTGGTTGAGGGGGAGCCTGGTGGCCAGAAACCTACAATGGTTGTGGGGCCCCAAGGCCACGTGTCCTTCTATCCAGGAAGCTTATGGTATAGTCATTTAATGGCTAAAGAGCGTGAGTTGTCAAGCCCTCCGGGAGGCACTTACCTTCCTTTCTTAGCTGCCTAGCACTGGACTGGCATTTGTTCAGTTCCTGCGAGCCAGCTTGTCCCTGCCTTGCAGATTACCGCGCCACAAAACCTGGCCAGGGCAGGGCGGCCAGGTAGACCAGTTCAGCTGTTTCCTCAAACCTGACCTTGAGTTCTGACCTGTGAGATAGGAATCTTTTCGCTGTCAGGGTGGATGGTAGCAGTTAGAAGTTTCATCAGTTTCCTTTCTTCATATTTGGAGCACTGGGATTTGGAAGGACAATTAGGAGTCATCAATGTGTCCATTCATTCAACAAACATTTGTTGCTGTTTATGGCTGGCCTGGCCATATGGGGCCTGAGCTGCCACCTCCGAGTTTGCTCAGATAGAGCTTGTGCTTCTGAAAAGAAGAGGACTGGAAGGAAGGTTTGTAAGGGTCATTCCCAGAGAGCCCACCCCTTCCAGCATTTGCAAGTTAAGATATCAGTGGCCCCCTCTCCTGAGAGGCCCCACAGTTGGAAAGGTCAGTACTTCCGCCTTGTGGTAAAGGAACAGGAAGGCAGGCAGTCTGTATGTGCCTGCTCACATGTTTAGCACCTGTCAGGTCTATGGGTGTAACTTTCTTCTTTCTTGCTATCCTCCTGTTTCCTGGGGGATTTCCCCTTCAGACAGTTGTGTGTGTGTGTGTGTGTGTGTGTAAAACACAGGTAGAGAAGACTGTTACAATGGTTCTGACCGATAGCAGTTCAGCAAAGAACAAACAACAGCTTTTCAGATCAAGGCTTCCTAAAGTCCCTTCTCTTTCCTTTAGGTGGTTGTGGGAGAGGCTTCCTTGTGGAGGAACAAGTGTTACCAGACTCCTCACTTCCCTAGAAGGGTGGCTCCTTCTTCAATTAAAAGTTAGGATAATGATCAATTCCAGGGCATCAGGGATTAAATTAGAAACCTTCTATTGTATAGGAGTTTGATGAATTATTAGTTCTTTTCATGCTTTTCTGTGATAACCTCTTTTGAAAAGGGCAGAAGGAGAAAGCACTCTTTTGTTGTATTTCTTGGGCCTCAGCCCAAAAAGTCTAGTTACTTTTCTTTGGTCTAGGATTTTTGTCTTTGCTGTTCCCTTGCTTCTCCTGATAAAGCAGCAGGAAATGGTGTGAAAATGCTGCTCCAAGGACTTAGGAAAAGACCTACTTCCTGAGCTTCTGGAAAGATCAGGAAGATGACCCTTCAAGCCATTTGCTCACTGCCCATCTCACATACCCCTCCAGCATGTCTCCACCCCTCCATGCCATGGGATGTTTTTCTGTGTGATACAGCGGAAGGCCTGAACCTGGATCAGGAAGTTTTATAATGTTCACCTTCTACAGATCCTGTTCATCATCTCTGAGTGACTTAATGCCTCGGTTTCCCTTTCTGTCAGACAGGTGCTTGTTCCTTAAGACAACCAGTAAAGATTGTGCAACATGTCTATAGAGGGTACAAGTAAGACACACGACAGCCAGGGTTTGTCTTGGTTCACCCTTCTCACTATTCTGGCTCTTGTCCTATTTTCCATGATTGAACTACCCCTACAAGTCAACTTCGGGAGTCGGAGTCGTGGCTGTCACTGGCAATGGAGTTCCAGAACTCTTAGGAGCAGAGTGACAGACAGCCTTTCTCTCGTAGCAACACACTCCCTCCCAGAGGGCTGCTAATTCTTTGCAGGAGTGACAGACAGGCACCAGATCCCTTTGCTTCCTCCCTCCCCATTAAGCAACTTCCTGGCAAAAGCTCTGTCCTCTTATCCTGTAACATTTCCTTACTGGGGACATTCTGTGAGAAACCTAAGTTATCAATGACCACTTTCCTCCTCTTCCTCAACCTCTAGACACAGTACTGGGTCTGCAGCTTAGGTTATTGGCCTGGACCAACTGGAAGAAAGGCTGAGCAGGAGTGGGGGAGGGTGAAGATGTTCTGTACCCACTACTGCTGTTCTTACAATCAATCCTTTACGCTAGGCTGGGGACAATTTTCTGAGCCAGTGCTTCAGTTTAGAAAGAGGGAATTGGCTGGAGTCTTAGAATAGTCCCCATGAGAGAGCTCTCTGCTTTAGACAGGTTATGTTACCAGGGCAAGGACATCATCTTTGTAGTTATTCTGTAAATATCAGGACCTCTCATAGGAGGGCTTTGTTCTTTTCACCATCAGGAGGGGACTTATGGGGAATATATTGATTCCTGGGCCTCCCTCTCTTGCTAATTGTCATTAGTACATTTAGAGAATCATTGGGCAAGTGTACTTATCTGAATTCGAGCAAGGCAGTGACATCTTGGTGGCTGGAAGTATTCAATCCTCTGTTCTTGGTTGAGATCCTGGAGTCCTGGATGTTTTAGAATTCGCCAGTTGTCCTGGTGGGACTTGGGGGCTTTTGATGATCAGCTTGAGAAGTTCTTGGTGGGCCAATCAAAGATGTCGGATGTAAAATACCAAATGCGGAGCCCCACGAGGTGCTGGAGTCCATGGTCTGATTTTTCCAGGCATCTCCCACTGCCTGAGGTTGTAAATAAACTCACCACAAGGTCTGCAGCACTGGAATTCAAAGCCCTTAGCCCAGAAGCAGCTGTGCCTGGAGATGTTTGCTCATGACCTTTTCTCTTACCACACCCTGGGGCTCTTGGGAGGAGCCAAGAGCTGAGCTTCTAGTGCCAGGATGCTGCCTGTCAGTGCCCATGTTAAGCTGACTCGTGGGTCCTTTCACATCCTTCTTGCTTAACTACGGAGTACACAGGATGGAAACTGCTCTCTGCCTTTGGGAGACAACGCATGATTAAGCTCAATAAATTTGTGATTGGAGACCAGAGCAGAAGGCACTCTCTCAGGCTTTCTGTAGCCTGCCTGAAAGGAGAAAAGAACATTCATGCCCCCAAAGCTCAGAACGATGGAAGGACAGCGGGTAGGCCTGTCCCTCAGGCTGCTCCGAAATCGCTTGCCACGACTTCGAGCAGGTCAGAACTGGATTGCCTACTTCCTTTTTGGGGTGATCCTCTTATGGGCTGATTCCTCCTGGAGTGCTCCTCCCTCTTTTTTCTTTACATGCCCAAATCCACATGGCCCACATGTGATCAGGCCAGCAGGATTACCTTATCAGTTTGCAGAGCTCATCATGTCTGTTGTGGAGGTCTTGGTATGGCCAAGATAAAATGCCCTATGGGCCTGCTCTGATTATTTAATACAATTTCACTCAGGGCTCACAAAATGCTACCCAAAACTGCTGCAGTCAGCAGACTGTACAGTGTCAGACACAGGCCTCTAAGAACCTCCACAGTGTGGCTCTTCAGTTTCTTCATCATTGTTTTCTTCCTGTGTCACTCCACAGTCTCAAGTTTCCCAGGCAGGTGTGGAAACTGCCCACTTGGCTCTAGTCCTGCCCAGTGACTGGTGGTACCTGGTCAGGCTTGGCAATGTGGCCTTGAGGCATGGAAGTTGCCCAGATTTTCAAACACACTACAGAATGGAGGAATGGAAACCTCAGGGGGGCCTTGCAATCTCCATTTTAGGACAATCCCAGAACAGTCCTGGGGAAACCACCACAGAGCCGGAAAGGATCCAGGAGCATTCTCTGTCTAGCTTTGCTGGAGGCCAGCACTTCTTTGAATACCTTCTTGTCGTTTCTTTAAAGAAAAAGCGTTCAGGGGATGACTATGAACCCACGATCACCTACCAGTTTCCCAAGGTAAGGATGGAGGGAGAGATGGGGTCTGAGGATGGTGGGGAGAAGACAGAAATATTTATACAGGAGCGGAGTTCTACTCCCTATCACCCTGCTGGGGCTTGAGCTCCGAGTTTACTGCTCTCATTTCCTTTGTAGCCCAGCCCTAGTTTTCTGTTATCACCCAGAGAATCTAGGTCTGACTGCTTTGTGACTGAACCTCTGGAGCAGAAAAACCAGCCTCATGCTCTTGCCCCTTTGGGAACCCCTTATTCTTCCAAATTCCACTTCAGTCACCTTTTCCTACAGAAAAACTGGAAAGCATCTCCTTCCTGGTTGTGTCTCAGAGAATCAAGCAGGGCCCATACTCAAACACAGCCTAGGATCAGACTCCCAAAGTATTAGAGCACCCCTTGCCTGATCATGCCCTGTGCCCTTCTCAACCCCTCTTGTTAGCAGATGTAGTAACTGAACAGGTTGCTTCTTTTCTCTGATGTGGTATCTCTCTGATGTTGCCCTCTCAGGAGGTTGGTCCAACTGGCCTTTCTAACCTCCCTTTTGAATATGTAAATCCTCAGGATACTGAGATCCAATCCAAGGTTATGTTGATGTGGCCCAGAACAAATTGTTGTCTCTTTGAGGTCCTTCCAGCTAGACCTAGAATGCAGATGGTGTGGTACCAACCAAAGGCAACTTTGTACTCCATGCCAGTGGGAAAGAAGGTGGACAGCCTTCTCACACTCTGCTTCTCTGTCTAAATCTCCTATCTTTTCCTTACAGAGGGAGAATCTGCTCCGGGGTCAGCAGGAAGAGGAAGAAAGGCTGCTCAAAGCTATTCCTCTGTTCTGCTTCCCTGATGGGAATGAGTGGGCACCACTCACAGAGTATCCCAGGTAACCACTCAGCCTGGAGACAAGGGTATCAGATTTGGATGGAAAGGCAAATGTGTGGCTATTGTCATTCCCTCACCTCGGTGTGAATCCTGATTTTCATCTTATTTTATTTTATTTATTTATTTATTTATTTATTTATTTTTTTATCTATTTATTTATTTATTTATTTATTGCCAGGGAAATATTTTGCCTGGGGTCCTTTAGACAAAAGATCTAAGCTGTGATTTGATCTCTAACCAAAGACCCTTAAGAGTCTCTCATCTGTCCTAGAAAAAACAGCCAATAGTTTTTACTCCGCCACAGGTAGAAGCAAGACTAGCGAGAAATACTTCAGCTTCTAAGACAATATCAAACAGGTTCTTCCATCATAAACACTGGAAGTAGACCATGACTTCAGTTTTTAAATAAGAAATAACTTTCTGAGAGCCTTACTTACTTCATCTTTAAAGCAGTGTTACCAATATGACCTCCTTCAAAAGGTTATTTTGAGTCTCCAATAAGGTGGGCATTTGGGCTTGGTACCACTGGGTGTTTGGCAAATGAATACAGTGATTATCCCAGTGATTAAACAGCAGCTCCCCTTTGTCCTCCTCTCCACTCTTCTAATCCTGACTTCAATTTTGTTTTAGAATCTAGTGAACAAATGTACACCATTGGTCTGCTCTCTCTTAGGGAGACCTTCTCATTCGTCCTGACCAACGTGGATGGGAGTAGGAAGATCGGATACTGCAGGCGCCTCCTGGTCGGTGCTACTCAGAACTGCCCCTTTCTCGCCTCAGACTATTTCAGCTCCACAGTTGGGCTTGCCAAAGCCTTAGCTACAAAAAGCTCAGGCTCGGTGGCAGGGGTGTTTGTAGGGAGAGTACAGCTCAGCACATGCTGCCATGTTAGTGTCCTTTAAGGAATCCCACAAGAACAAGGACCTACTGCTCCTCCCCTCCACTGCCATCAGGCTCTGGCCGGTGCTATCCTAGCTCAACAATTCTACACAAAGTGAGAGCTTCCAACTGAACCAACCCTCTTGTAGTCTTCTCTACCCAGGCCTGCTTGCTTTGTTCTCTGGAGCCTTCCAGATACTCTGAGGTTTGAACAACGAGGTTTAATTCTTGGCTTTCAGGACTAGGACTCTCTAGACACTTTTACATCCCTGTCCTCTCTAGACATTTCCTTGTGGCTAAGACAAATTTGATTTTGTTCTCACTGAACATAACCTCACGTTGGCCATGAATCAGAGTGTTTACCTTTGGGTTTCTGGCCCCTGGAGGCTGCCACTACCACCTTCTTCTTCCTCCTCTTCTCCTCTTATTAGCATATACTCATTGTATATCCCAGTTGTAGCCTCCTCCCACATCTCTCCCTGGCCCCACCCTCCATTCCTCTTCCCCCATATCCTTTCCCCCTAGTCCACTGAAGGGGGGAGTCCTCCTCCCCTGCCACCTGATTCTAGCTTATCAAGTCTCACCAGAACTGCCTGGAACCTCTTCCTCTGTGGCCTGGCAAGGCCGAGTCACCAGGAGGAAGTGATCAAAGAACAGGCAACCGAGTTTTTATTATGATGTTTTCTTATTTGTAATCCGTGAACTTAAATTATGTTTACTACTCCCATCACACCAGTGCCTTTTCTTTTCTCAAATAGTCACCTTTCTAATTTCATGTTTTTAATCCTTCTTCTTTATTTTTATTTAAGTGTTTGAGTGTTTGACTGCATGAATGTAAATGCACTGTGTGCACACCTGTTGCCCATGGAGGACAGAATAAGGAGCTCCATCTTCTGGAACTAGAGTTACAAATGTTTGTGAGCTACCAAGTAGGTTCTGGGATCAAAACCTGCATCTTCCACGAAGGCAGCAGATGTTTTTAACCATTGAGCCATCGCTCTGGAGCCTCCTGGGTCTTTCTCTCTCTCTCTTTTTAAAACTTATTTTATTTTTAACTGTGTGTGTGTAGATGAGATATGTATATATGTGTGTGGGTACCTTATGAGGCCAAAGAAGAAGAGGCATCCCCTAAAGTGGAGTAAAAGATGGTTGTGAGCTATCCAATGTAGGTAATGGGAATTGAGTGTGGATTCTCTGGAAGAAGAGAATCTTAACCACTGGGGTACATCTCCAGCCCCTCATGCCTTTTATTTATGTCTGACTTTTCTAAAATCCAAATCTTGCAAATGAGATAGAAAAAACATTCTGTTGCCAGGTTCCTTTTGCTTTAGATAATAATTGCCACCTCCATCCATTTTTCTCAAAATGTCATAATTTCATTCTTCTTAGTAGCTGAATAATACTCCACTTCGTTTATATAACATGTCATCTTTATCTTTTCATTTATTGAGAGACTCATGGACTGGTTGTATAATGGGGCTTTTGTAAGCTAGTCATGGTCTCTTGACTTTGGTGACTATCTTGGTCTTTCTTCTGCTTGTTCCATGAATAGAACCTCTGTACAGGCCTTTCTTCATCCAACCCATTGACCCCCCAACTGCAGCACTCCACCCTTTACCCCATCAGTCTCAGGTGGGAAAAACCCTGTGAAGGCTTCAGCCCTGAAGGCAACTCTTGTTCCTCCCCAGCCTGCTGGTCCTGGCCCTCGCCTCCCCAAAGTGTACTGCATCATCAGCTGCATCGGCTGCTTCGGCCTGTTCTCCAAGGTAGGCTTAGGACAGGATTCTTTGAAGCCTGTTAGGCAGGCCTGTTCAGCTCTCTGGCTGTGTCTGGTAGCTTGCCTTGCAACTTGAGCCCTTGGTAGAGCGCCTTGCCAATAGACAGCCAGCATTAAGGATATTGGATGAAACTGAGACAGAAGGGACCTGGGCTCAACCCTATTTCAAAGAAATCTAGAAGGCTGTTTCTCCTGCAGAGAGACCTATTGTTCATTCTCCTTTTTTATCTTCCTGGTTGATGTTAGGCTCAGATGAGGTATAACATGAGAAAACCCTTCATAAAAGGGAGGGCACTACACAGTCTAAAGACAAATAATGTATAATAAAGATCTCCAGATTTACCCGATTTTAAGGAAGGTAGAGGAGAAATTGGAAGCTTGTGTTGCTGGTGCTAGGATCAAGGCAGCATCATTCCCTCAAAATGAATATGACCTGTCTTGGTGGCCAGAAGAACTGTGGATATAGGAGTGGAACTTCATTGGCTTCTGCTTGGATGGCTTTTACTTCTGTGAATTACACAGAGGGCTGATGGCAGCCTCACCATGATGATAGTCCAGAGGAAATGGGACAGTGATACCTAGAAAGTTAGGCTTCTCCAGCCAGTGCCAACATGGAAGATGACTTGCTAGGCTTAGTATTCTTATGTCAGTGTTAGGGGAAGGAAAGAATGTAAGAGAAATTCAGAAGAACTCTTGGAAAAGTAGGTTTTGTCCAGGATATAGAAAGCCAGTTGGTGGAGGGGCCTAGAAAATACCAGAGAATAATCAGGACAGTGTTGAGTGCCTTGGGTATGTAGTAGAGTCCCTCTAAACCTGACTTCCTATGGTCCTTCCCCTGCAGATACTGGACGAGGTAGAGAAGAGGCATCAGATCTCCATGGCTGTCATATACCCATTCATGCAAGGTCTCCGAGAGGCAGCCTTCCCTGCACCTGGAAAGACTGTCACCCTTAAGAGCTTCATCCCTGACTCAGGCACAGAGGTGGGTTAACAAGTGTGTGACTGCTCTTCTTTCATTCACCAGGTTAAGGTATTGGGAAGCTGAGCTAGGCATTAGAATTATTGGCAGAGCTAAAAACTCACCCAAATGTACTGCACCTTCTAACCCAGTGTCCACCAACACCTACTTACTATCCAGTCTACTGAATTTTGTCTGTGATCATGTATGGTGCTAAGTTTGTTCTTAATCTCTAAACTTTCAGTTGCTCCTACACCTGACCTCTATTCTGTGCCTGTGTCCAGTATCTCTATCCTGCAGACTCCATCTGTTTTAGTTCTTATCATTCATCCCCACCCCTATGTCCACACCCGACTCATGAGGTACTATTTGTTCTCAGTAACTAAAGAGCTAAAGGCAGCAAATGAAACTCGAGTCAGGATCTCTGGGTCTTTGGAAATTCCCAGAGATTTTCAGGGAAATCTGAAAAATTGCACTGATTTTCAGTGCAAATTCCATGTGCACCCCTGAACCTGGTTGATCTCACAGAAGAATCAGGGAGTCTCTAGGAATTTTTATCCATTAAGAATAAAAAATATGTACTGAAGGAAAAATGAATACCGACGTACTCTGTGTTAAGCTATGCATTTTCTGGGTAAAGTGTGGTGAGTAAAACGAGCATAGCTCCTGACCTCATGGAGCTAAAAGTCTCATGGAGAAGGCACATCAGTAAATATGTAAGTGATTAGCACACTTCTGAATATACAGTTAAAGATTAGACAGTCGAAAAGAAAGTAAAAAGCAGTATGCAGCATGAAGAAAAGATGAAGTCTTAAGATGTCCAAGGTAGGCCTTTGAAGCTGAAAGATGAGAATGAAGAGAGGAAAATAGGGCATGGGAGGCCCAACCAATGCCAGGCTTTAGGCAGGAGAAGAGCTCTGCTCCAGAACATGTTCATGGTGAAGTATGTGGAGATGAGCATGTGCCCCAGACTGGACCTCATGGTCCATACTGAAGATTCCACCCAGCTGTCCTCAGAGCAGAAGGGAGCCATCGGTGGGTGAGATCTGTCCTGTGGCAAGAATGGGATAGGCCTGGCCTGGGTCTGTGATTTCTGTTGTTGCTGAACCTTTTCTCTCTGGTTTCCCCATAGTTCATCTCACTGACACGGCCCCTAGACTCCCACCTTGAACATGTGGACTTCAGTGCCCTTCTACAGTGTCTCCATTTTGAGCAGATTATTCAGATCTTTGCCTCTGCGGTGCTGGAAAGAAAAATCATCTTCCTGGCAGAGGGTCTCAGGTAAGCTCAGCCACTGACTTGGCAGGCTAAGTTGCATGCCCAGGTTCAAGGGAACATCCTGGAGCTCCCTAAAGGCACTCAGATTCTAGAACCCATCTGTGCACCTTCCAGCTTCCAGTTCCAGGATCTGAATGTTAGGCCTAGAAAAACAGCTAGTCCAACCTGTCTGGCCATCTCTAAACTTGACTGCTGCCTGACTGGGATCTAAGAAGGATGTGGAGTTTTCCTGGTATAACAAAGGCGGGGCCAGCTGGGGTGAACGTAGACATGATTCTTCTGCCCTTGCAAGTCCAGGCTGAGGGAGAAAAGAGGGTGGAGAAGAGGACAGGAAATTGTATAAAGGCATGGAGGACACGCTCATCTATCCATTTATGAACTCACTCAACAAATATTTATTGTATGTCAGCTGCTTGCCAGATGCCAAGCATTGAGGAGATAGCAAGAAGACTCTGTTTGCCTTAAGGAGATGACGGGTTATGTATTGGTTTTAAGCAGAGGTACTGAAACCTGTGGAATGACTTCCAAAGCTTTTTCTTCCACCTTTAGCTATGGTTCCTCTTGGGTCAGCATCTTCACTTCTTGAAGTCAAGATCTTGTTTTCTGTAGGATGAAAATGATTTAGACTTGCTTTATAGGGTTGTGATGAGGATGAAAGGTGATGCACAGTGGTAGACACAGGACCCCACCTGGTGCAGATTGGTGAGGACTATCTGATAGTCTTCAACAGTTCACAGTTGAATATATATGCATGTATAGCAGAAGCAGGAAACTCTCATGTATTGGCTGCTGCTTTTGAGAGGATTCAAATCTGAAAAGGGTGTGGGGAGACATGTGGCAGGCAGAGAAGAGAAGTTGATAAAGTCAGTAAAAGATTGACTATGAAGCCCTGGCTGGCCTGGAACGCACAGAGATCTGCCTGCCTCTACCTACTGACTGCTGGGATCAAAGGTTTGTGCCACCACAGCAAGAAACAATAATTCGGAGCTGAGTCCTGGTACTATCATTAGGGAAGAAGAAGAAAGGGAAGTTGAGGAAACTACAGAGAATCAAGGGAATGTCATGATTTCCAGAGGAAAGAAATCTTGGCAGGGATCAGGGGTCTGTGTGTTGAAAAATAGTAGTGTCTTTAATAAGCAAAAAGGTGAATAGCATAAGCTAAACCTTGTGAAAAGGGGCATCATTTTTGTTTGGGAGATGGTTTTCCTACTCTGAGCCCTACGTGGAGTTATTTTCTGTGGTAGCTGGGGCTCAGGCTCCAACTAGGTTCTTTATCTTCTGATCAGTGTTTGTGACATGAAGGCCTCATATTTACCTCTCAGGAACAAACTTTCTCCAGGAAATATTACAACTTCCTACTTTTTCCCCACATGGAGTTTTCTAATCCTGGAGGCTGGAGTTGGGTGGGGACTTCCAAGCTGCCAGTTTGTTAGCTAGAAAGACTCAGTCTTTCTAACTCAGGAAGTGCTAGCTTGATACCAATGTTTCCGAATCTGTGTGTTTATTGGCCTTGGATGTGGCTAATTTGGCTGGAGAAATGAGAAGCTATGAGAGCCAGCGGGGAATAGGGAAGCCGGGGATGGGGGTTGTGTATGGTTCCAGTAAGGGAGGCGGCTGAATTGTGATTGGGATAGTAATGACATAAGGAATACTTGTAGCACAGTTTTGAGGAGTCACCTTCGTGGGACTTTCCGGAATTTCAGAGGAGTGGTTCCTGGAACTGAGGAATTTCCCAAGCTAACTCAGGGACCAACCTGGTGGCTTCAGGGAACCATAGAAGGATGTGAGTGTGAATGAAGGCTCTGCATCTTCACCAGAGCCTGGTATTAACTCTCTTGTTTTTTCGCTATGCTGAGTTCTTCAAAGAAGGGCCACGTTATTCTTCTAGTTATCTTAGCCCTTTGCAGAGTAGATGCTCAGTCATATCCCTGCTTAAATGAAGGCATGTCTTCCTCCCTCCCCTCTTCTGAGCCACTTTTATTTTTAGCCAGTAATGACTTGAGAGAACTAGCTGGGAATAAAGATTAAAGGGGCCCCACCCTGGTTAGTTGAGCCTTGCCTGTCCTGATTTCTATCCTTCTCAGCAACAAGTAGCTACAAGCTCTGTGATCAGCATGGCTTCCAGACTTGACTTTTTTTTTTTTTTTTTTTTTTTCCCAGTACAGGAACATTGCCAGTAGCTACTGTAGGTGTGAGGCTCTAAGCCAGTGTATAGGAACAGAAGCCTTACTGACCCATTCTCTGTTCTGTGTTTTAGTACCCTGTCTCAGTGTATCCACGCTGCTGCTGCCCTGCTTTACCCATTTAGTTGGGCGCACACATATATCCCCGTGGTCCCTGAGAGCCTTCTGGCCACTGTCTGCTGTCCTACCCCGTTCATGGTTGGGGTACAGATGCGCTTTCAGCAGGAAGTAATGGACAGTCCCATGGAGGAGGTAAGCTGCATCAAAGAGAGTACATGGTATAGTGCTAGGCAGGCTAGGATTTTTATTCTAGCTGTGGTGACAGCAGCTGTGTGATTTGGAGCACATTGCATAATCTCTTTAAACCTGAATTTCTTTATCAGGGAAATGGGGATAAATGTCTTCAGTTGCTAGAGACTGGAGAAAATGACACGGCTAAGCTACTAGGCTGGCATCTGACACAAATCCATGTTCAGTGAAAGCTGGCCCACTTCTCTTGAATGATTGCTCTTTGGTCTTAGGAAGCAAGATATTGCTTGTCCTGAGCTCATGAGACTAGCCTATTAGCCCATCATCCCTACTGAGCAGTCACGTGAGTGATCTTTCAGTTGAATGAATGATCAACAGCTGGCTTGTGCAACACACACCCGACTGGAATTCAAACCCCTTGGAAACAAGCCCTTTTGTAAACAGTAAAGTCTTGAAAATGAAGGTATTTGCAATGTGTACCATCTTTCTGAGTAGCTCAGGGTTCAGCTGAGTAAATAATGATATAGATTCAAATCTCTTCGCATTTGTTGCTTCTTGTTTTTTGGTAATAACCCTGGCATAGAAGAGGGTTTAGTTGTGTCAATGGACACTAATCACATACATCTTTTCCCCCAAAGTTGGACAAACAAGTTGAAACATGTACTCTGATCTAAGGGCAGTACATCACTATAGCTGAAAACAGGACTGATTGAAAAGGTCAGACCTGGCTAACCATTGACTCACTGTGCAGAGACAGGATTACCTATTGAGGCATCTTGATGCAAGCACTAAAGAGGTGAGAGGTACTCCTAGTGGGAGGATTTCCTCTTTTACAGAAGGGGTTGGTGAATTCCAGCAAACCTACTGCTTAGATGAGGCCATGGTGGAACTTAGCCAAAGGCCAAAGCCCTTCTTTAGAAGGTGCTATTGACAGGGAAAGAAGTAGGCCGTTTCCTTTTGTTTCTCCAGCTTTTGTGCTGAGCACACATGCCTCTTGAACAACCCTTAGCCTTATGACTAACTAGAGCAGGCTATCAGCCCCACTTTAGCAATAAATTGGGAAATGTCTCAAGCCCAGAAGTTATGTAACTTCTCTCCTCCAAAGCTGGGGCACCTCCCCTGATAGGCAGAGAGACAAACGAGGGCCAATAAGGCTCTGGCTCTTGTTAGTCAAGAGCTCTTGCTTATTTTATTCCTTTGCAGCTGCTTTGAGAAATGGGCAAGACTGATAAAGGAGGAAGTCCATATGGTGTGTGTGTGTGTGTGTGTGTGTGTGTGTGTGTGTGTGTGTGTGTGTATTGGGTGGAGTGCAAGGTTCTCTGATTATTTTCCACATAAGCTCTCTGAAAGGAATTACTCCATAGATAATATGACCAAAATACTGAAAAGACTTCTGGGAGCAACCTCAAAAAATATTCATGCATACACAGCTCTCCACCTCCAAATGAACAGCTTTCCTTGCATGAAAGCATTCAAACATATGTATACATGTAATTTCAGGCCTGGACAAGTTCAGCTTTTCTCCTCTGATGATGGATAATTACAGTGCAAGCTATGTTGTGGCAAAATTTTCAGTTTCTCTTTCCTTATATTTGGAAGTAGGGAACATGTATGGTTCCTTCATTCTACTGTCAAGACTCAGGTTAGAAACTGAAACTAAGGACCCAAAATAGACCTAAACTGCAAGCACAGAATTTGGAGACCTATGATTCACTGGTGATCTGTCTAATGGTGGTAGTTTGAGATTGTCATTGTTGCTGTTTTTGAATGTTAGCTTTAACATTAGTACAGGTTGGTTGCGGTGTCTTTGCCTATAATTGCAGAATTCAGGAGGGGAAGGTAAGAAGATCAGGGATCAAGCATACCCTAGGCTACATAAGATCCTGTCTCAAAGCAAAACCAAGGAATAACGTCAGAGTTCATGAGTTTTCAGATGTCAAAACTGAATCTTATTTAAAGATTTTAATTTAAATATCAGAAGTGTTCCAATTACCTAGCAATACCCCGAGGAATCAGCAACTTGGCTGCTTTGTCTTGTGGTCTAAAGTGCAGGATCCTCAGGCTGATGGTTCAGGAACTTGGTCCTGGGCTTATTTCATTTGCAGCGTATACACGCATAGTCTCCTTGCTTCTTTTCCTTTCCTCTGTTGACCCTGGGCTCATGTTCTTCCTTGCTGAGTTTTCTATACTGGAAGGTTTAAGGCTATAAGAGTTTTTAATTAATCGAATCCTGGTCAACAGCATGCTAAACATGTGCTCTCACACTGACCTCCACTCCCAGCCAATTTGAGGGAGCTTTCAGTTCATACAGTTGCTGCAAGTATGAAAAGATCAAAACATGACTGCTTCTGTCCTTGAGCTGACCAGAGGACAATATGAGGACATGTTAAATGAGAGCTGGAGAGAGAGGAATATAATCCCAAGGACCACAATTGAGGCTTGGAAACTGGTCTATTTCTCAGCACCATGACCTCTGGGAACTCTATGCCAGGGTCCACACTAAAGAGATTGCTGACATGACTCTTCCATGATATGGTTAAGGTTTTTATTGTAGATATGAGAGAACTGCTGGCGGTATCTGGAAGATACTGGAGACAGAAAGAAGTAGACTGAATGTAGCCAGCAGATTGGACATGGCAGGGCTAGGGAAGCAGGAGAGAATAGTGGAGATATCAAGAGACAGAAAATAGAGCATAGCAAGAGAAAGAATACTAAGAATGAGCGGAGGTGGGGAGAATAGCAAGAACAGAGAATGACTGGGTTATAAGGATATGGGGGGAGGGGGAAGCTATGAGCTTAGGATAGAGGTAAGAAGGACTAGTATGTTGGTGTGGACTTCGAAAAGTGTAACAGGTGACTGATACTGAGGGAGCTTGGAGGTCAACATAGGCTTTGATAGGTGCCACTGGTAGCCCTATGCCACTTTTGCCAGAGGTAATGGAAATGAATCCTGTTGGTAGATGAAAATAGGTCCCACCATTTCCTAAGGAATGCTGGCGTTCCTTATCACCAGAAATCCTCCAGCAGTGTAGGTTGAGCTCGTGTCTGGATATTTGGACTGTCTTTGGGAATTTGAGGAATTGGAGTTTCCTTTGGACTTTGTAGGAACATCTCTAGGTTTGTCTTATCTGCAAAATGAGGTAGTACCTGCTTTACAGAACCATTGCTACAATTAAATAAAATGTGTAAAGTGAGTACTGTATATGTGTCATGGGCATGCTCTGCATTAGGGAGCAGTTTCTATAATTCCCATAATCAGTGTTGTTTTAATTTAACTATTGATGATGATGATAACACAGAGTCTTTCTGTGTAGCCCATTCTAGGTTTAGAACTTAAGGCAATTTTACTGTTTGTCTCAGGATCCCAGAGTGCACCACCATGCCTCGCATGCTCACTGTTCTTGAGTGAATGACTATGACATTTCTACATCTATTTCCCTTCTACCTTGGCTCTTTTCTCAGCCCCCTTTACACTTAAACAAACACACACACAGGGTTGAGAATAACAGACAGGAAATGAGAATTATAAATGCTGATGTTGCTGCTCCCTGGGCTTCAGGTATAGTCATGAGCAGAAAAGGAAGTTGTAGAGATCCATGAAGAGATAAAGCCATTCTGTGTTTACTTCAGGTCCTGTTGGTGAATCTTTGTGAAGGAACCTTCCTATTGTCGGTAAGTATTTGTATTCATGGCATCTGGAGGGCTACCACCACCTTTTAAGCCTTATGATGTACCATTGATCTCAACACACACTTTGAGAAAGAACCTGTGCTATATTTTCCCCTCATGAGGAGGCCTCAAAGATCCAGATGTCTCCATAAGGCAGTCAATGACAGTGTCTTCCGAGTAAATAATAGACACTGATGGGGACCCCTTGTTCATGTTTGCATTCAAACCGGAGGCAAAGAAAAGACTTCTGTTCCTCTCTATGGAGCAGTGGTTTGGGGTGGAGTAGGACATGAACTCATACTTGCCTCCTATTCTCTTGGCCCCTGACCAGACTGCTCATCCTTGACCCAGCTCTTTTGTCTCTTAGGTTGGTGATGAAAAAGACATTCTACCACCCAAACTTCAGGATGACATCTTGGACTCTCTTGGTCACGGGATAAATGAGTTAAAGAGTAAGTGCTAGGCTCCTCTTTTATTTTAAGCATTTCCAGGGAGCTTGAGGGAATTATTCCCAACTTGTTCAGCAGCTGTGTCAGGGGACTGGATCCTGAATATGAGACTGTTATCCCCTAGGGAGGTGTACAGAATCCACACACAGGTTCTTAAACTACTATTTTTCTTTTTTTGTGAGACATGTGCCTCAAACTTATAGCAATCCTCCTGTCTCAGACTTCTGAAATTTGGGATTGTAGGTGAGCCATCCCAGGCTCTGGCTCCCATTTCAGTTATTTACTGTGATGCCTCCCCTGGGAACATCTGGACAATGGAAACTAAAATTAGAGATGAATTTGGGTAACATCCTTCTATTGCTCTGAGATGGGATTTTCTGTCTCCTGCAGCTTCAGAACAAATCAACGAGCATGTTTCAGGCCCTTTTGTGCAGTTCTTTGTCAAGACTGTGGGCCACTATGCCTCCTATATCAAACGGGAGGCCAGTGGGCAAGGCCACTTCCAAGAACGATCCTTCTGTAAGGCTGTGACCTCCAAGACCAAGCGCAGATTTGTGAAGAAGTTTGTGAAGACACAACTTTTCTCCCTGTTCATCCAGGAAGCAGAGAAGAGCAGGAACCCTCCTGCAGGTAAACAAAGCCCCAGCAACTCATTTGCAATTGTCTCCCCCAAGAGGCCTGGGAGAGTGTTTCTCTTCAGTGGCAGACCAAACAGCTGTAACTTCTGTCACTGGGGCTGAATGGAAGTAACTATAGGAAATGTTTCAGGGGCTGGAATTCTGTGAAGACATGTCTGTTTAATCACCCAGTAGCCTGGGCTCTCCTTAGTTTTATTCTGGACCTAATTACTATTTGTAGATTCCCTTTTGGGTCAAACTGAATGCAGTGAGGGCCTAGAGATCATGGCAGCTTGTGTGTAAGGGGAAATGTGGGGCCTTTCTGTTTTTTGTTTTTTATTGAGATAAGGTCTCATTATATAGCCTAAAATTCCCAATAGCTAGGATTAGACATGTAACTCCACAGATTAGATTTTAGGCTTGCTGGGAGTACTTATGCCTGAGCTCACAGTCATCAGTCTTTCTAACAAATTAGATGCCGCTAACACCTGTATGAACCCACAGGCTATTTCCAAAAGAAAATACTTGAATACGAGGAGCAGAAGAAACAAAAGAAATCAAGAGATAAAACTGTGAAGTAAAAGCTGTGGTGAGCAGGAGCATCTACAGCTACAGACCTGTTTGGACTTTGGCCTTTCTGGTGTGGCAGGATCAGTGAGCCTCTTGGCCCTGGAATCCATGGCCTCCTTCCAACTGATAACCCTGACTCGCTTCAAACTGGTGCCTGAGTTTGGGATCCTTGGTGCCAGGACTAATGAGAACTTTGAAAGCTCTTATACAAACTCATTGACTGTACTCAAAGCTGCATTTTTGGCAGAGTGGATACAGTGGGCGATAGTGGTACAAGTGTTGTGGGTGCTGGATTAGAAGCTGCCAGTACTGCTGTCCCCTGGGAGCCACTGTTATAAAATCCTCAATACAGAACATTGTTGTGGCCCAACGACTGTATAAAATAGTGGTCTGACATGTGAGGATGAGAATAAAGATGAAAACCTTGTTGTTTGTCAATGTAGGAGGCAATATATGGGAGAACAAACTTAAATTAGACATGGAGGAGGACCGTCAAGATAGGCTGCTTGGAATGACAAAAATCAGGGTTAAGCAGCTACACTTCTAGTAGGAAGAGTAAGAAATCGTGATTAGTGGCCACAGCAAAGCAGTTGGTATCAGGCAGGTGTCTTTCCCAGAATCCTGAGCAGAGATGGCTAGTAGGAAGGAGGCAGGTGCAGCCTGGGACAGTTTAATGGGAGAAATCCTGCTCAACAGAAGCCCTTAAAGGCTACTCCATGACTTTCATAAACAGGCCAGACTGCCCATTACCCAGTCAGGGTTAGTCATTTACCTTCAGTTTTAGGCATCTCACCAACTGTTTATTAAGACTTCTGTTCTATTCTTTAGCTAAAGGTGGAACGACTCCTGCATGGACAATTTTTCTTCATTACAGTCAAAAGTATTTAGTTACCTAGGCCCTCTTTTTTTCTATTGCTCCATTCACAGTTTCTGTTTAAACCCTGCAAGGAGGCAAATATTTTTAGAAGCATCTTGTCTTTTAGAATTCTATCTCTGAAATGTTTTCCCTAACTTTTTTTTGTTGCGGCCTTCAGAAGTTTCTAAATTCCAAAGAATGAAAATGATGTGGGAGTTGGAATAAGAGGCAGAGCTACAAAATGGAAGTTTAATGTATACACTTTGATTTGGAGAACACAAACTCCTACTTATAGCTGGTAGATTTCTGCATGCCTTGTCTCACTAGTTCTGCAGCTTCTAGAATCATTATACCCTTTTAGATACTGATAGAAGTGGTTGATAACTCAGACCCTGAAAAGACCAAAAACCAGGATCATGTAAAGGCTGCTAAAATACTGAGGCTCCAATAGATTTCTACCATATTTTCTACACAGCATGTTGTGGTGGCACAGTTTATAATCCCAGTACTCAGGAGGCTAAGGCAACAGAACTTAAACTTCAAGGCCAGCCTGAGCTACTGTGCGACTCTGTTCAGGAACCAACCCTCTTCTCCCCCAGTCAAAACAAAACAAAACAACAACAAAAACAAGGCCTGGAAATAATGTTTTCTAAAAGGATCGATATTGCTGAATGATCCTGATACTCCACTAGGTAAGTGATTAAAACAACCAGGGCCAACTGAGGATTTCTACAAAGCAACCATTGGCCTCATGATGTTGATGGTATCTATGCCAAAGGAAGCACACAGAAGAATGCTTTTCTGATTCCCCCTATACCGAAAAAAAATCTAGAACACATGTATTAATTTCAACTAAACATTAGTACCTCAGTTCATAGCTGTAATATGATACATAAAACACTAGCTAGAATTCATAAGACAGCCTAAATTCCATTCTGGAATACAGCAATACTGTGTGACAACTGTTATTTCATTTAGCCTCTCCAAGCCTCAATTTCCACTAGGTATAAACACCTGTTACATGTTTGTTGAAGCAATCAGATCAAACAATAGATGTAACTGTACTAATGGAGGACTATCTGTCCTTTTATTTCCTGCTTTGTCTTAGATTATCTTTACAACCCAGCCCTGCGCTCTGATTTTCTGAGTCTTGTATAGCTCAGCCTAACCTAAAACTCCATAGTCAAGGATACCCTTGAACTTATGATCCTCCTCCTGCTTCTATCTCTGAGTGCTGGGATTCACTATCCTTTATACTAAAGTCTGTAAACAATGCAAACAAATAAGATTCACGGAGGAAACTTGGCTCCTATCTCAAAGTATAGTCTAAATATCAAAATACAAAGTGCAAAGTGACACCCCAACCCCACCCCTGTCTGGATACTTACTGAAATGTTGGGGTAGTGACTGCAATATGAAGACCTACGGAAGGGAAAACTGAACAAAACATCTTCCCTTTGAAGAGAGTTTAACAGTTTCTACAGTATAAAGTGGTCACAGGCACATCATTACAACACAGCTGACCCATATTTCCTTAATTGTTAAAGAAAAGAAAAAAATTGTTTAAACTAAAAAAAAAAAAAAGACATTTTAAAAACAGTTCATATTTCCCCTGAATAAAACTGAGAAGAGACTGGCTCTGAGATCATATATTTATTTAAAAAAATAAAATGGATTGACAAAGTTACCACATTATCTGCATGCTAGCGAGATTTCCCAAGCCCGTGAGAAACACCATTTCTTGATCAATAATAAAATCACTTCCTCAACAACGTACAGACCGGAAACCTTTCCATCCAAATTTAAGGTCTTTATCACTGCTCTCACCTCACAAGCTAGTAGGATGTATGTGTTACAAGCTGAGCTCCTTACAAAAGAATGTCTGAGAAGACAATAAACAAGGTGTTACTAAAAGATGATGTTAAAATCATAAAGAACCACCTTTTGGCCTGTAAAACTTTTACATTAGAATCACCACCACCGGGGGATGCGCTCTCTGACACTGTTGTTCTGAATTCAGGATAATCACAAACACATGGCATTTTTCCTGCATGCTTTCTGGAGCCAAACCCTGTTTGACATGTTCAGTTTACAGGATGGGACCTGAAAATCCCATTCTCAACAGGACAGTTAGGGGGTGTTACCAGTGACAAAGAATGAAAGTTATATGACATTGATTATTATAAATTATATTTGATCTTATCCACCCCCATTCTCCTTTATATGTTCGGATTCCTTCCAGCAGGAAACATGAGCTTAGTAGAACCCAGATACATCATTAGTGATGATTTGAGTGAGCTGTAGAGGCTTTAATTCTGAAGACATGTATATGCAGGTGAGATGCAATCTGATTGCAAACACTGACACAGTAGCGAATCAAATCAAAGAAAGAGAAGACCTGAAAAAAGAAGATGTTTGGTTAGAGTCTCAGCATGTGCACAGGCCACCCTAAGCCTCCCGAAAGGACGGAAGGTGGCTTCTGACTTTCTTCTCTCCAATTCACCTCTGATTTCGTTGATTAACTCAGTTGTCTCCAGGTGTCTCCTTTACAACTAAGGATTAACAAATCTTTCCTTAGAGAGACAGCAAATATGTCAAGCTTTTTATTATTTAGTTTATTTTTTTGAGACAGATGTTCCTAGGCTGAGATGTTCCTAGGCTAGCTACATATTGACTTTGGCTAGCCTCAAAGTCAGTATGTAGCTGAGGAAGATCTTCAACTTCTAATGCCTGAGTTTTCAGGCATCGCCACCATACCTGGCTTTTTAAATATGGTGCCGGGATCAAAAGCTTCATGCATGTTAGGCAAACACTTGACCACTCGTCAATAAACGCACCACTGTATTTCAAGCTTTCTGAGTTGCACTCTCTGTTACAATTGCTCAACTCTGCCAGTAAAGAGTGAAAGTAGGCGCAGGCAGTTTATAAATGAATGACTATGATTGGGTATAGTCAGAACTTCTGTTATACATACAATCAGAAATAGGGAATTTTTGGCTCTTAATGTAGGTAGGACTAGTTATAATACAAATGAAGGCTAACAATGACATCATAAAGAACTCTTAAGACATTCAAATGTGGGTTTTTCCCATTCCTAGTAATTATTACCATTCTATGATCTCTTAGGACTGAACCACTCAGAGAAGAAAAAAAGGAGCTTACAAATCACAAAATAAGATAGTACAATACCTACCAGGGCAATCCAAAGTACAATGTATTCATCAATGAAGCTGTTAAAATACTGGTCCAGAAACAGAAGTGCTGGACCTATGAACGCTGTGTCATGCAAATGCATTTCACTTTTCGTCATGTGTGCAACCTGAGAGTAGAACAAAATCAGTGAAATAGGCACTTTCATTTTAGAGCTGTCAGCAACATGGTAAATCAGTACTATGGTCCAATACAAAGTTTAAAGAAGGACTCAGCAACAATTGTTGACTTTGTAAAACTAGAAAAGGGAATAATCATGCCATCTATGTTGGTAGAAAAACACTTTTGTACAAGGGAGTTCAATGTGTGTCCAGAGTGAGACCAAAGAATGTACATAAACTGACTGACCAAATTAAAGAGTGGACAAGATAATGAAGAGATACAGAGCTTCAAAGAACTTCAGGTAAGCTCAAAATGGAGCGTCAGGAGAGTAAAAATAGCTCTTGGATTGATATGAAGTGATTTTTATTGCAGAATCTTGGACTACTTAGGAGCCACAGAATAAAATCCAGGTCTACAAAACCAAAATAAGACATACATTTTAAAAAGTGCTTACCACAAGCTTATTAGTGATTTTAGCTGACACAAAACCAAATGTCAGAATATAAAGACATGGATGCCTTTCAAAAAGCTGAACTGCTGACTTCTTGTAGATCATAACAGCTAACGTGATCACTGATCCAATGTGGAGAAAAGGAGAAAGGACACTTGTTCCCTGTATAAAGCAGAGTTAAGAGCATTTAATACTATCAGATAATACATGGATCTACCACAGAACACTTTAACCCAAACTTCCTAGACCCTCTCACAGTGTCTGCTACTTAACAACTGCAATGAAAAACAGGCTCCATGAACTGGTAAGGCACAAACAGGACTGCACTTGGCAGTTGTCATGTATTTTTATACAGCATGTCATACTTTTTAAAAGCATGTGTGTTGTGCCCATATACACAAAACATGTACATTCATCAGCATACAAAAGTGTGCATAAATATATACTGTAAAGGCTTAATAGAAATTTTAAGTTGACAAATGATTTTATATTTTTTGAATGAAAAACAAAATAGTAGTTGTAACAAGTCTTTGCTGACAAATCTCTGGACATCTTAAGGTATACTCACTGCTATGGTTGATCCATTTTTGCCAACACCACCTGTGAAGATTACACGGAAGTAATTTGTACAGGAAAATATGGTCCCTGCCACAGTACAAAGTGCAGGAAAAAGTTTCATTTGAATATTCAGCACTGGAATCTTTAATGGGTAGAGAGAAAGGACAATTAAAATATATACACATTTAAATAAGAAAATAGCACAATTGAGTATTTATTCATACTTTCAAATATTCTCCTTTCCTTATAGTAAATATGACT